CGAGGCAACAGTGCTGCTGTTGTAATGTGTGTGTTTTAATGCAATATGTTTGTGCATTGTTTGGTTTGTGTAGCGGTACAGGTTGTGTGAGCTGACAGGACATTTTTTATGTTTTTTTAAATTGGCTGTCAAGGTCTGTAATAAACGAAGATCGCCTCCAAAAGAAAGGTTCGACTCTGAGTACACAACGCAGAGAACTGAATCCACCGGTTACATACATACTGATCTATTTATTTTATTTACAATGCTCAACAGATTTATTAGAGCACCACCTAGTGTCAGGTTTATGCCACAGCTGCCCTAAATCAACAGCATTGGTAATTACCAAAATCATTTCCTGTTTCTGTAACAGTTAATGCACCACTATGTACAAGCTCTTTGACCCAAATGATATTTTTAATGTTAAAATATAATTATTTTGTGATTAAAATGTCAAATTCTACTCATTTATTTTCATTCCTGAACAGAAACATTAGTTTTCGTGGTTGAATGTGATGCTTGATTCATTTCTGACTTCTCACAGAAGCCCCGTGGCTCAGACCGGGGTAGAAAAGGGTGAAATCAGTGTGAAATTCCTCATTCCTGTTGAAAACGGTAAAACGTGGAGAGCTGAGTGGCATTAAAGCACTTCATGATGCTGGGTGGTGACATACAGGAAACTTAAACTGTAGCTTCACTCTCGACAGTTTTTCTTGGCACTTGAAGGAATTCTGTGAATGTGAAACTTTTATTACTTTTATTCTACTAGTTGTAAGTATTGTTGGTATCGTGGTTTTTTGTTTTTCATGTTTGGTTGCGTTTTCTTTGAATGACTGTGAGTCACGTCATGAACCACTAGACTGTGTGTTTTTTTTCTTGCCACTATTTTCACTGAAACATTCTGCATGTGACAAAATAAAAACTCTTGAATCTGGAGGCAACCAGTAGTTTGTTCAAACATCCATCCATCATCTCTACACCTTAATCCTCACCAGGGTCATGGGGGGCTGGAGTCTATCCCAGCTGACTCAGGGTGAAGGCAGGTTCACCTGGACAGGTAACCAGTCTATCACAGGGCTACACTTAGAGACAGACAACCAAGCACACTCACATTCACAACTCAACATTCAGAGGATGTTTACCTGGTGACAAAAACACACGGTGTATATATAGAGGGAATGATTTTGTAGAGAAGTCTGAACAGCTGCAGGGACTCTGGAGGACAACGTGTCTGGGATGCATGGTATGAAGCTGCGTGGCTTCATGTGCTGCAGAGGGTTTGATGGACTGATTGGTCTGATTGAGAATGTGAGAAAACCCAAACAAAATAATCTGTCAGATCGTGCAGAACAGTGAGCGGGAAGTAAACCAGTTCAGCCACAGAAACACAGCAGCAGACACACAGACAAGAACCCGACTCTGCAAAAAACAAACCAGCGGGCAGTGTGCGAGCATTTTGTTTTGCCTCGCAGTTCAGTTCGACGTGATGTGGGCAAAGTGAGGATTGGATGATTGGATGAATGCCAGTTCATTGTAATGAACACTGGAAATAAAGAGTCACTGGAGTGGTTTAAAGCTTTAAGCTGCTTCTTCACATCATTCATGGTCCAGTTCCTCAGCAAAAACACAAATAGTCTGTAGAAAACTAATGACAATGATCCTAAACACAAGCCCTGTGGATTAATTGCTCAAAACTAAAACACATTGAGTCCACATCAGGAAATCATCGAGTTGAGCTGGTTTCACTGTTAACTTTTTTTTTCATTTTTATCATGAATTAAGGTAGAGACAACTCAGATCACTTCAGAATTTATTCTGGTTGTAAAAAAAAGTGACATTTTGGCATTTTAAATTAAAAAAAACAACATTTTTAAAAGAGAACAGAGCAATGTCAGTGAAAAACACCAAAGCACTGAGAGCCCACGTGGCCTGCAGATTCATCAGCACGTGGTTGGACGACACGCCGACACAAAGGTGGTTTTGTTCAGACTGACCTTCACTCTTGCTCTGAATAACATAGTTTTACACCATAACAGCTCGCCAGTGACCCAACAAACACATTTAGATTTTTTGTTTGTTTTTTCCATTTGGCTTCGATTTCAGCCAAACATTGAAATACATTAAAAGTACTGTAAACTGAGCACCATCAAATAAACAAAGCACAAACAGGTACTCAAAGCCCTTGAACAAAAAAACCCCAAAAAAACTTAAATTAGTGAATTATACACATTTAAATACGGCATCTTCAACTACATGAGAGTCGGCGTGAAACTGGTGTTTGTAAATCCGCTCACAGCTAGAAGCACTTCATGTTTAAGAACACAACTGGTAAATGTGTACATGCTAAAATGTTATAAATAGCAAAGGCATAGTTATTAGGCACAGATATATTTTGATCTGATCTCTATTTGACGTTTTTTCTGATTTGCACTTTTTTTCGACACAAAAACTTATTTCAGCAGCAGTCAAAACAGCAGGACTGTGACGGTGTGAGTCAGTGTGGTGGTGAATGCAGTCACGTGAAGGTAAAGACAATCGTATTATTATTAGCAGCGCTGACTCGAGCTTCAGTGGTGCAAAGTTTGTATTAAAACACTACAAATTCAAGTTGACAGGTCAGTGGCTATGGTGCTAGCCCAGCGAGTGCTGCTTCTTCAGGCTGTCCGAGCGCCTCACTCTCTCCTCGGGGGTCTTTCTGTACCAGCTCCTGGAAGGAAAAAGTCGCTTTAAAGACGGCAGTGAAACCTGAAGGGCGGAGCAGGAGCTGACTGAAATGATGCCGGAGCCACAGTTCATGTGACCGATGCAAAAGTTAGCAGCAAATTGGACAAACTGATCAACATCTACGGGGGTGGAATAAGGAATATTTCTCCAAATTAATTAAATACGGAAGTTTATGTGTGTTTAACAACAGAGAGATAACTTGCAAATGTGTCCAACTAGCAGAAGCATGAGCTCACCCCTGGCGGTTCAGCTGGCCGGAGGCAGGAGAGTTTTGACCCTGACTCGGCTTCAACACTCTGGGAAAGGAAAAGAATATGTGCAATGAACTTACAACAAACAGCATCAACACAGGGAGGCACAGAGCGAAAAATAAGTTCAGGGTTCTCACCAGCGTTATAACGTCTCGTTACGCTGCTGCCTGAAAACATTACGCTGCAAACTGGGCGGTTGTTTTGGAGGGTATGTAGCAGGGAAATGATCATTTCCCTACGTTTCCCTGTGCCTTGGCCCGCTACGCTGTCTTCAAGCTGCGTGTTTGGAAAATTGGACATTTTCCAGTAAAACTTGAAATTTTTCCGAAGAGACTCGTTTCTCTGCCGTCGTCTTCGCTGCTAACATCTTCGCTAACGAAGAAAATTTCTGGTGAGAACCCTGAAGTTCACAAACACAACAAACCTGTTGGTCGTGGGGCTCTTTGGCTTCTGCTGCATCTTCCTAACTTGTGCTGGAGACTCACCAACCCTGATTCACCAAACACATGATCACTGCATCTCAGCACTGAAAACATGAATACACAATATAAAGCTGTGTCCTCCTTCTCCATCCTACCTCTTCTTCCGGTCCAGAGATCTCTGTGTGGCAGCAGAAAGAGCAACTCTCTCTTTGGGGCACTTGGCTTTCTCCTGAAGATGTAGATTCATCAAGAAAATATCACCCTCCAAGCCTCCAACACATGAACTTACTGAGTACAATATCAAGCCAAGACTCAGAGACAGAAAGGTGAGAGGATGCCTGAGTTGTCACCTTCCTCTAATGAATTATGTGATGGACTGCTGCCTTGTGTTTTCAGGTTACCATGTCTCGTAGCTTCCTCTCTGCGCGCAGCTCCCTGTCCTGCTGCAGCAATCCTAAACGATCCCCCGGCGGCATTTCAAAGAAGATGTCGTGGACGTCGTACAGGGCTGCACGAAGCTGTGGGACAGAAGACACCAGCGTGAACACAGAGAAAGAAGCACCCACAAACAGTGACGGCAGCCATACCTGGGCTCTGACTCGCTCCTGCAGGGACAGATCTTGAGCCGAGTAGCTGCCTCTCTTCTGTGGACCCTCCGTCTGAAATGAACGGATGAACTCTTGTGTGTCCTGAGGACACATGTACAGCACGCTGTTAATACACCGAATAGCCACCATCAGCGGTGCACCTTCGCTGTGTGTGATCTCACCACGACGGTTTGACGCAGGTGCTTGACCTTCTCGGTTTTGAGCAGCCGACGTATCAGGAAGCCTCGAACGATGGCGCCGACGCGACAGAACGCTCTCTGCTGCTCCGCCGTCAGAACCTGAAAGTCACAACGAGGACGCGTGAAGGATGTGAACAGCCACACGAAGAGGCAACAGGTGAGACACAGACATTAGGGGGCATTTCCACGAGCCGAGGGTTCACTTTAGATGTGACCTCATGCAGCCACTGAGCTCGACCAGGGTCGACCCACCAGACTCAGCCTCGCCCGAGGTTTGCTCGCCGCCCACGTGGAGCCCCACAGATAAACCGGCTGCTGCACGGAAGGAGAGGACACACTGGAGGGGGCAGGACTGGAGAAACCTGGAGAAAGAAAGGCCAGAAGCTTTACACCAAGAACATTATTCGCTCTACAGCCTGCAGTCGTCCTCAAATGCACTCATCCCCGTTGCTTTTGAATTGTGGTTGAAAAGAATAATTTTAAAAAACAAACAAAACTGTCCTGGACCAATGAGAGGCCTTTGCTGATGAGCAGTGGTCCAGAACACCTGTCAACAGGTGCAGAAGTCTGACTGAGAGTTACAGGAAACACCTGATGGCAGTGATTGGCTCAGAGGGTTGATCAACTAGATATTAGTTTACGGGTCCCATCATGCTTGTCTGCTTGTTTTCTGTTTGTCTTGTTTTTTAGATATATTTCTGTTGAACCACAACTCAAAAGCAACGTCATGATTTTCATTAAGTTTTTATTTATTATTACTTTTGTCAATTTCAACTTATTTCAGTGACTGAAGCTGTTGTGGGTATGAACACATCTGAGGGCGACTGTCTGCAGCAGTTACTCCTGTTTTACTGGGAAATTCCAATTTCAGTCTCTGAGTTATTTAGCAAATGCTATTACAGTATTCGGGCATGAGCCAATATATTTTTCTGTGTATTATCCTGTCTACAACACCTCTGTACGCAGTATTACAAGAAGTCATGTAAAACAGATTGCACCGTCTGCTCTCACTGTCCGTCCAGTCAGTTTTGCTTCTATCGATCACATGGAGCATCTAGAGAAAGAGTTTACACGGAAACTGTGACGCCTTCAAAATAACACTTCAGACGTTAAAATGAAGAGTTACCCAAAGAGGGACGGAAAAAGAGAAAAGTCTGTGGCACAAGTACTCATCTACAGTTTCCATCTACTTGTAAAGTCCACGTTTTTATGGCAGAGTTGAGGTTCAGTGACTCCTGAAACTCTTCATTTTCTTTGGTGGAATCATTGAAACACATGAATCTAAAAACAATTGTGCTTTTTGGGTCTTTCGTAGATTTATTATACGTCTTCTGGAAACAAGACGACTCCTCAGAAACATTCATGCAGCAATGCTAACATCTGGCTGAACGGCCCAGTGAAGAGTGAAGCGGTACCTATACTGTGTCCAGGCGATCGCTCACATGGCGTGTGGGTCGGGCTCAGTCCCGGGCAGGACGGGCTCATTACTGGACCGTTTTCACTCACAGACCTACGATTCCAGCCACAGCCGCCGTCCCCAGCGAGAGGCAGCACACAGCCCTGCTCCAGCTCCTACACAACACGGACATGTCAGCGGTCATGTTTCATTTAAATCAGCCACACGTGCAAATGTACTAAATAAAAAACGCCCAAAATGATCTATTTTTAGCAAGAAAGGGAAGAAAAAAAACCAGAATAAACGTCTGGGTTTAGTTGCTTTTGATATCTACTGCTATTTAAAATGTCTGTGAAGATTCCCAGTCATCCAGGTCGTGGTTCTTCTCGTAGTTTAATCGTAGCAACTGGACTTGCTTGAGTTTCTTGAGGACGTTTCACCTCTAATCCAAGAGGATATCAGGATCTAGATCTCCCAACTAGTCAGTCAGACCTGATGAAGCCTCTTGGATGAGAGGTGGAACGTCTTCAAGGAACTCGAGCAGGTCCAGTTGCTACGATTAAACTACAAGAATCCTATTTAGAATGAGCACTGTGTGATGCTGACCAGACGGAGGCGCTGCTGCTCTTTCTCCTGCTCAGCGAGGAGCAGCGACATCTGCAAGGCGTGCTCCTCCTCCAGACGCCTTTGCATGTCCTCCAGAGCCTGGGCTCGCCACTGGCTCTCCTCTGTTGACGTGCACAAGCAAATAAAGCATTCATCTCTATTCATGCAACGAGAACGTCAAACAGTGACCTCAGGGAGAGTGTGAAAATGTGTTTTTAAAAAAAGCCTCAGAATGCTGACCCCTTTAAAACAGCCTCACCTGTCTTCCCAGCCTGAGACTCGGCGCTGGCTCTGAGGACAGTCGGTGTTTTCCTGCCGTTGTTGGGCCCCTGAGAATCAACAGGCTCCACCCTGAGCGTGACCTGAGCCAAGTCAGGAGGCAGACGGGGCCTCGCCAGAGCTGGAGACGGGTTCTCCACCTCGTACGTCTGGTTTAAGGGGGCTGCTGAGGTGCGTCGACTCGGAGCCAACCACGTCACTCCGGCCATAAAGCGAGGGACTCTTTCCTGGCTGCGGTCTATAGGCTCCACTCCAGCATGGTGGGAGTGCAGCTGGCTGTCCAGGGTGTGGCAGCGCCGGCGAAACCCTGCAGCCAGGTGGTCGTGGTGTCCCATGGAGCCGGGCACTGAGGGGCTAACCGGGCTGCAGCTCTCCTGCACTGGACTGGTACCGCAGTGACTGGATCGACGGCTGCCACCGCTGCCGACAGCATCCCTCCCCGCTGAAGCCCAGTGGCCAGCGGACGCTTCTCCCCAGTCTGCCATGCCGGCACCTTCCCCGGACCTTCCTGGGCTTCGAGGGATCAGGTCTGCCGGGCCAATGGGGAACGAGATGTGTATGTTCCCTGTAGAAACGGGCCGAGGTCTGCGTCTCTGCGGACGGGGACTAATGCTGGACTCCGGACTCGGGAGACGAGCAAACTGCTCCGGTAGACCGGGCGAGAGGCAGACGGACTTCTGAGGACTGGGGTCATACAGAGCCGGATGCTGGACCTGAGGTGGGCCGACGGGGCTGTGGTGCAGACTGAATCCAAACTCGACGCCGGCATCCAGCACAGGGCTGCAGCTCCTCTTCTCCTCAGCGGAGATGGTCTGGGCGACCACTTTGGATCCCTGCTGCTCTCTCTTCACGTACTCCCTCGACCTCTTGAGAAGGCTGTCCAAGCTAATGTCCTCTTCCTCCTCTTCCTCCTCCTCCTCACTCCTCTCCTGGTTCTCCACCTTCACTTCCTCCACTCCTTTGAACCCATTGAGGACGGGGGTCTCAGGGCTCGGAGTGACAGGCCTGTCGCTTGTCTGGAGCCCAAATCCGGAGTCTCTGGGAAGCCCGGGTGAGTCGGTGACCAGAGTGTAGCCGCTGGCAGGTTTAGAAACTGGCAGCTTGTCGACCTCGTCACTCAGCACCTCATGCACCTGTGCAAGAAGATAAGTAATGATGACATGTGTACTAGCAGGTAAGAGTGAGCAACGCTGCTGTGGAGTTGACAAAACAGGGCCACCATCAGGTATAAATAGCTCAGCCGACTGGAAGAAGTGTTTAGTCACACGGCCGGTACTCAAGTCTGCAAATGTCACTAGAGATTGGAACAGACTGTAATTCAGTCTTTGTGCTACGACGTGGGACTGACACACAGACCCACTTCACAGACGGAGCTGAAAAATGTTGCATTCAGCATTTTTCCAAAGAGACACACGAAAACATGAGTTTAGTCAACAAGTCTCAGGCCGACACGATCACAAAACTCTCCCGGCCAGGCCTCCTACCGGCACCGTGCTACTGACCCGAGCGTGATCCAGGACGGCCTGCACCCGGCCCAGGAGCTTGTTTCTCTGCTGGTTCTGTCGCTCGGCCTCCAGCTGGACCGCCCTCCGTCTGAGGAGACACATCTCAGCGCGCTGCTCTGCACTCAGCTGGAAGAGGAAACAAACACTGATTCACACGTCTCCAGGAGAGAGCGAGTCACTTCAGCGGCTCAGGAAATGTCAGGCGGATTAAAAAAGGTGTGTTAGGGACTGACAAACTGCTGTGCTTTGACCTTCTTTCGCTATATCTTCCCATCTTGAAGACACTTTGCCACCTGACCAGTAATGAAGAGTTGGTCAGTGGTCACAAGCAGACGTTTTTTTCTGATTAAACTCAAACAGCCTTTGAGTTCCTCCTCATCAGTCTACTGCTGACCTTTTCTCACGGCAGACATTTTGACTTTGGGCTCCATTAAGTGTCCCAGTGGGGAAGACTGCTCAGTAAAGGATGTGTGGAGCTGGTTCATCCCAAAGCCTTGTGTTTTCTGTATGTCTCACACAGCTCTCATACTGTTTGTTCTACGATGATACTGCATCCTTTCCTAGGTTTTGTTTTGTGTGCTTTGCCCGGTGAAGGTCTAGCAGTGAAAAGTCACAAATTTTCTGCAAGTCAGAAGCGTGTGTGAGTCTTTTTGAAACTTTAGGAAGTGCTCGTCCCTCTCCTGCACCCTGCCTCATGAAATAAATGTGCAATAAGGTCCTTTTTCATTGTTTCTGTAACTAACAGGAAACACTTCTATGCAGGCCACAGATACGAACACAACAGAATGTTTTGGGGTAAAGCATTTTGTGCCAATAAAACACTTGCTCTGGATTGTTATCTGGTTGTTTGTTTCTGTCCTTACCAGGGGCGACAGCACCGCTCTTCCGTGGAAGTGGATGACCGAGCGAGCCTTCGGGGAACACGCCGGGTCACATGCCCACTTCTTCCTGAATGTTCCTTCTTCCTGCAGCAAAGCCAGCGTCCGCAGGCAGAACTCCTCGTAGCTTTCCATCTCTGGACACCCGCACATCCACACCCCGAAGAGGAGACCATGTAGCCCCGTCGCCCAGCTGTCAAATGAGGCGGAGGGCGTGGAACGAGAGGATCCACAAGTCAGCGTGAGATCAGGCGGCACCGGGTTGGAAACCCTGCACCACAACAAAGGAGGGTCTGTCTGCTCTTAGTGTTGTGTTCTTTTTAAAGCACACTCATCACATTCCTGCCATTCCTGTGCAGCAGACTCTCTTCCGTGTCTCGTGGAGGTGAATCGTGTGTCCAATCAATACAGCTGCTATTTCTGAAAATGTCTGTCAGCAGATGATGGCACAGAGCCTCCACGGACAGGTAATGGCAGACAGGGCCAGAGCACACAGCTGAGAATGGGGGAAACAAGGCTATGAGCAGCATCAGTTCGAGTTTACATGATGAGATGAGTGTTTGATCCAACCAGGGCTGCTGATGCCACCAACCTGCTCCTCTGACTACAGCACTGAAGCATGCACAGTGGCAGCACCAAGGCTTCCCTTTCCATGCAGCGATTACAGATTATTCGGCAGCTTTTGAGGTTATAATCGAAGCGAAATTCTCCTCTGTCTCTTTTTTTTTTTGTATTTAGTGAAAGCCACAGAGACGCTGCGCTCCAGATGTGCGCTGACAGACGGACGGTTCTTACCTTCAGCGGAGGAATCAGAGGTCACATCTGCCTCCAAACGCAAACCTGGAGCTCACGGTCCTCCTCCTCTCAATCTCGGTGTGGCCATCATCATCATCATCATCATCACTTCCAGCTCTTCCGGGCTCCAACAGCGCCTCCTAGCAACAGCAGGCGGGCCGCGTTCCAATCCGCTCCACTCATTCCTTTTCACTCCGCGTGACGCTTCCTTTCCCAGAATTGAAGGATCTGTCATGAAGATGAATGATGAAGCCGGGAGACAAATGGAGCCTGGTCTTTGTGGATATAATCACATTATATGTGTAGGCAGATTAGAAGACTTTTGCATTTAAAAGCAAACACACAGTAAAGAAGTTGTTTATAACTGAAGTGTTCACATCATGTATAGGCTCGTGTTTTATACGACTACAGCCTCCTTCTTTGTCTGTCCTATGTGCTCTCAGGGGGACTTATAGGAACTAAAATGTTCATTCTATCAGCTACAAGCTCTGCTGCTCATGGGAGCCAACTACAAGCCACTGAGGTAAAGTTTCAGTGAACCTGTTGATCATTACAGAACAAAATCAAAGTTTTCATTTCAACCAGTGTCCTGCTTTAAAATGTCACTTCTGTTGTATTATAGTCATTAGAATGAGCCCAAAGAATTCAGCACCGTGTGGCACAGCTTGACCCTCAAATGATGGCCCTAAATGTATATTTTGAACTAGTTCCTTCTGTAAGATGGGACCAACAAGTAAAGCAACCAAACACCTTGAAGCCCTAACACCAGCTAACATCAGGCTTTAGCAGCGTGTATTTTATATTTCAGCACTTCCAAATACCGTCATAAGACCGTGTTAGTGATGGCCACTAAAGCTCAGTGGCAGTATTTTATTTGCTTATTTATTTTCATGTCATAGAGAGAAAAAATAAACTTTTCTGCATATTCTAGCTTAAGGAGAACAGTGTTCTTAATTTCTGGCTTTTTAAAAATTCTTGTTTTAATTATCATTGAAATCACAGGAAAAAAAAATTGTGGAAAAGAACAAACAAAAACGAGAATATTTCAAGCTGCTGGACAACTGTTATGATTGTGTTTTTACGTGATGCTAAACTGTACATGTTTCAGTGTTCAGCTACGATGAAGGACAAACCATGAGTCGATAATCAGACACGCAGCAGCGCTTTGACAGATTTAATACATTTCTGAAACCAAACCACAAATGCATAATTGTTTTTAGTGACAAGTGTAAATAAACGTTTGTTCACAACTGTAGATAACACGACTTTAGATGATTAATATTCACTCATATTCATAGACAGTTGTATTATTTTAAAAGTTGAAGCCAAAGTAAAGAACCTGGAGTACAACTTTTTTTTTTTTTTTATCTTTAGTGATTTCTTTATCATAACAACATTAAAAACCACAGCTCATCTCCTTCACTGATCCTCTTTTTGTTTTCCCAAAGTAAAGCATCAGTGTCAGTCTCCGCAAATGTGCCTTTGGAAAATGAGAAGAATAATTTAGTCTGAATAATACAATAATACAACACACCAAAGACTTAATGGACTGCTCATAACACGGGATGAGATCCAGATTATTTGGCTCTTTATTCCCCCAAAACCAACATTTTAATAATCTGGATGGGGATTCAAGAATATGTTATTAATTAGACTGAATAAAATAAGTTAATCTAATTGCATTTTATCCCCAGAGATGTGCTCATGGCTGTAGGACTGAAGGTTCTCACACAAGGTTCTCAATCACAGTCTGTCTGTGCTCAGCTGGTTCCCCCGATGAGGCTTTTCTCGGTCTCAGGAAGGAAACGTGCTGTTAAAGAAAATACAAACTCCCATAAAGAACACGCACAGTTATCCAGCAAACCTTGAGCTGCTGCTGTCTGCTAAAAATTCAACAGGGTGGAGTTACTGTCATCCTGACTGAGGACTCAAAGCTGATAGGAGTCTTTGGTTTTGTGTTTTTATGCTGCACAGGGGAATAAACATTTAGACATCAGAAAAATAAAGGTGTTGATGGTCTGTGACTGCAGAGCAACATGTGAACCAACAGCTTTCTGCTCACTAAAGACTGAAGTTAGCAAAAGGATCACATCAGCACCATTCCACAAATGACAGGGGTCCAGTTTTTCAGGTTTTCTCCGACGGTCTAAAAGAGACAGAGTTGGCCTTTGAACGGGGGTTTAAACAGGATTCCACACAAACTTAATGAAAAGCATAAAACTATGAATAGATTATGATTTGCACTACTTTTTTCTAGACAGCCAGAGGGGAAATCAGGGCATAAGAGAGATAAAATGCTTCATGTTTTTTTATTAATCTCTCCAAATAACTTGACACTTCAGTGAATTAGTGAACAACAGGTAACGCAGAGAACAACATAAAACACGTTTTAGCACATATAGATCGTCTAAGTAAAATAAGCATATCCAAAAAAAAGTGGAAAACTCAAATTCAGCAGCAGAAAATTATGATAGAAACAGTGTGAATGTTTTTATTCTGCTGTGTGTCTTCCTTTAAACACATTAAAAAATATGTCCAAGTTAAAAACCAGCCCCTTGTTATGGTATCATTTGAAAAGAGGCTGTCAATAATTAGAACCGTTCAACAAGTCCAATGTGCAGAACAGAGTCTGTGAATGTTTCCTTAAACACACATGAAGACGTTTGTGTTTCCACACAGGAGACACAAAAGGACAATGACACATTACGTTCTTCTTTCAGTGCTTATCTTTAATTACTAACTTAATTATTAGATGAGTTTTTTTGTGACGTTTACTGCTGCACAAGTGTGATTTTGTGTAAAACTAACAGTGCACGTCTGACTGATTATCTTGAAAAGCACATGAAAGAAATTTCTTGAAATTTAAAAAGGAAAAAGGGGGAAATGTAATCCTGTTTTTATCATTCTGATTATTATTCTTGGGTGTTATATGAATGCAAACAATAGACACTCAGGACATCCGTTGTTTGTTTTTCTTTGTTTTTTTCTTTGACTTAACTCAGCCGGTGTCATTCCTACTATTTAATTCCCTTTCTCTCTAAAAGGCGTCTCATGGACCAGGTCAGGAAACAGTTAAATCCGTCTCTTCTTGTTTTCAAACGAACCCCGTGATTTCTGCCAGCGGCCGCTGAGTGACGCTGTTTTATAGCCACGGATCCCATATATGGTCATTTTTACCATATAAGGACTGACGCATGTGGCGCAACGGAAAATATGACCGCGTGCGGGAACGGCGAACGTTAGACCGAGGTCCGGTTTTAACGGGACTCAATGAAGCTTCGGGCGGCTGGACGTTCAAACTGCGGACGGGTTTCCTCTCGGTGACCGGCGAACGTGTGAGTAGACCGACTTCCGTGTGGCTGACGGCGGAGGCGGCTGCAGCTCGAGCGGCGCTGCGCGGAGCTGCGGTTCCTGTTTGCACTTTTTATTCTAAGTCACATTTTGAAGCCTTCAGAGGGGCTGAAGCTCGTCTCCTTGTGTGAATGCTGCAGTGAAAGCTGCTGTTAAATCTCTGAAGACTTCACTTCACAGTCGGTCTGAGGGATTTCTGCTCTGAAACTTCATCCTCAACTTGCAGAGTGGTGGGATGTAACGAAGTATATTTACTCGAGTACTCCAGTTCAAATTGGAGATACTTTTACTCTGCGTGAGCTTTTATTTCATTTTATTCCTTTAATTTGTGTGCAGCTTCATCCTTCCGCTCCAGAGTTTGTCCTTTGTTTTATCACTACGTGTGTTGACATGTCAGGCCTCCTGCACAGTGAAAACCTTCACATGTCCTCAATCAGACTTTTCTCTGATGACTGTTCCTTCATCGAACATGTCTCTACTTTTAAAGATGCACAGACCGAAACATTTAAATCGTGCTCACAAAGCAGAGGTGCTTTTCAGAGATGTGTACGTCAGCAGGGCTGCAAACACAGAATATTATCAGCAAAAGTACTTGTCATGTATCACAGGTACTTAAAATGTGTTTTATTACCATATATGCTGCTGTGTTAAGGTGTATGCTGCTCCTTACTGCAGCATGTATGATGATCAAACACATTTGAAGTACTTGTGCTGATCATATCTACACACATCTACTAAAGCCAGACACTGAACGCAGGGTTTTTATGTGCAGTGCAGTGTTTTCACAGTGTGCTTTATTGAAGTAAAGCATCTGGATTCTGGTATTTACCGCCTTCACTCGATGTTTCCTCGTTCCTGTGGCCGCTCTGGACTGGCTTCAGGAAGAGAGGACAGATCTCAGCAGAGTGCTAATAAGTGAATAGTCCTGTTGTTCGCTCAGGCCTTTGCCCGCCTTTTGTCATTGAGTCCAAAGGTTGCAGTGAGACTGGATCCAGAATCCAATCTCTCAATAAAGTTTGCAGACTTCTGTCCAGCAGGTGGCGCCTCCCTCCTGACCTGAGCTTCCCTCTTCCAGTTCGGATTTAGGTGTCAGTAAAGTCTTCAATCCCTGCTGAGGTCAGAGGTCAAGCTTCAGGGCC